GGGGGGGGGGGGGGGGGGGGGGGCTTCAGAGACATAAGCTCTGGGCAGCAACTGTCTCCAAAGCAAAACCTAGGCCAACTGCTTCCATTTACAATGTGCCAAAGTGCACCAGATGTTGTAGGAATGCTAGGAATTCCAGATTCCCAAAGGAAGCAATGGAATGTAGCTTCTTCCCAGTGGCTTTTCCCTTCCTGCTTTCGGGGGACAGCAGAAGGGCCACATCTCTGGGAGCACGGAGCTTCAGCTCAGCTCTCTGTAGCTCCAGAGTCCAGGAAATCAGGGGACTGAAGTTCCTAGAAACACCTTACCAGTGATGGGAACAGAGTCAAAGTCGATCAGTGGGGGATCTGTGTCCCTCTCGGGAGCAAGGCTAGGGACACCCACGCCTGTGCTGGTGTCCTCTTCATCATCACTGTCGTCAAACTCAAAGGCCTCTCCAGGGTCGTCCTCCACCTCCGGGGAGGGGCCTGGGGCTCCGGGAACCAGCTGAGATCCTGGAAGAGAGGAGGAGTTAGCCAGGCTCCTGGGTCTCTGAAGTTTGGTCTAGGGAGAGATGGCTGGGGCCGGTGGGCACAGGCTGGAACTGGGCGAGAAGCTACAGATTAAACTCATGCTCAGGCCAGGTGGCCCTACTGTGCCCCTAACGTGTGTGGGGGGTGGGGGGTTAGGTGTCTAAGCAAGTGGCAGTGGAGGGAGGGGAGGGAGAAAGCTCCTGTAGCAAGTGTGTGCACATCTGTGTTTGAATGTATGTCTTTCCTCTTCTTACTTTCTATTTCCCTGCTTCGGAGTAAGGGGCCTTTTTAAATGCATCTGCGCATGTGCACATGGGCACACATCTTCATGTGTGTTTCTATGTGCTTATGTGTTCGTCCACTTTGTGTATGTGCGAATGAGCACAGACAGGCACATCCTGCATGCTGCATTTGATTTAATATGCTTGGTGGCATGAAACACAGCTACCTGGGAATGCCCGCAGCTTGAAGGCAGCCAGCTCTCAGGACTAGGGTACAGACTGGCTTGGGCAGGGGCAGGGCCCAAGCTCCCAGCATGGAGGTCTGCCGGCTGGGCCTCAATCCCTGCCTCTCCCCTCCTGGGTGGTCCCCTTCCTGGCCATGTCTTCCTGTCCTCCTCTTCCTCCTTCAAAACTCAGCTCAAGCAAAGAGACCCTATTCTGTGGATTGAATGTTCCCCTGCAAACTTATTGAAGCTTAAATTGTGTACCCCAAAGTTCCAGGTATTAGAAACCTGGCCCCCACTGTGACAATGCAAGGAGGGTGGGAAACCCTATTATGATAATTGAAAGGTGGGGCCTTGAAGAAGTGATTAGATTGTAGGACAATGCCATAGTGAATGGATTAATAAAGGTGATCAGGGGCATGGTTCTGAGGGCTTTAAAAGGAGAGCATCTGAGAGTCTTTCTCGCTCTGCCCTGCCATTTTCTGCCATGTGAGACCCCTGCGTTCCTGTAAAGCCCCCACCAAGGAGGCCCTCACCAGATGTGTTCCCTGGACTTTGGACTTCCCAGCCTCTGAAACTGTAAGCGACAAATTTCATTTTCTTACAAATTACCCAGTTCTGTATATTTTGTTATGAGCAACAGAAACGGATTAGTACACCTCCCTGGCCACCCTAATAAAGTCAGTCTTGCCTCCCTTCCCCATCTTTGTCTCTTGCTTGTGTTCTTCACCCGCTCCTGTATGCCATGTAGTGACTTGTTTTGTACTCCCCTACTGACTTTGGGTCCTTAAGAACAAAAGAAAATGCTGCTAAATTAGATAAAGAATGAATTCTTTATCCTAAAGAGTACAACAAGCCCTCACCCTTCTGGCCATTTCACCTTCTAGAAGTCCTTTTCCTAGAAGACTTCTTTCTAGAATCTGGGGCTGGACAGAAACTCAAGAGTTCACTAAGTATGTCCCCTACCTAGTGCAAACCCGCTCCAAAGCCAAAGGGCGGTTTGGTATGGTTTTAAAGGTCTGCAAAGCTGGCCACCTCTCCTCAAGCAACTCACAGCATGAGCTCTGGGCTCAGATAGCCCTGCCTGGGTCTCCAGCTAGCTGCGTGGATTTGAGCAAATCACTCCACCTCTCTGGTCCTTGGTTTCCTCCTCCAAAAATTAAAGAATAGAAACAGCACTCCCCTTAAAGCAGATGTGCACATCAGCTGGCAAGCAGGTTGGGGTTTCTCAGCCTCAGCACTAGTGACACTTGGGGCTGGATAATTCTTTGTGGTAGAGCTGTCTTGTGCATTGCATGATGTTTAGCAGCCCTCCTGGCTTCTACCCACTACAGGCCAGTAGCACCCTCCAGTTGTGACAACCAATAATGCCTCCAGACATTGCCACATGTCCACCTGGGGAGCAAAATCGCCACCAGTTGAGAACCAGAGGGATGGGTGTAGCCCTTACCACTGTGCCTGTGTATGTAAGGGTTACAACAGTAATATCTGCTGTAATTAATGTCCCCCTCCCAGCCTCAGATCCTTGAGGACAGCAGGATTGTCCAGTCCATGTCTGCAGCCCCAGCCCCAGCAGGTGCTCAATAAATATGAGGCGGATCAATGCGTGAACAGATGAGGAGGTGAATGGAACAGAGAGAAGAATGGATGGGCCTTTGGGTGGACAGGCGGACATATGTGATTCCAACAATCTCCCTGATCAGAAAAATCCAATCCCTCCCCCTCAGTGACAACGAGGTTCCCAGAGCAGAATATTTTAGGTGGAAATGTATCAAATTCAAAAAACCCTTTCCTTAGGGGCTCAACTACAGCAGAAGCTCAGAACGCACCTTCCCTCCCCAGG